AATTGCTCTCTGTGGATGCAGTAAAATGCGTTGTCAAAGTAGTAAATTTCTTATTATAATTTTATTATTTTATGTGAATGTACGATGTCAGTTCGTCAACGCGAAGTCTCCGATCACGAACTTGAATTTGTTATTGGCAGAAGGTCATCTGCATCAATTGTTTGCCTTGTTCTTCATATTGCCTATTAGTGGAAAGCTCTGTATGAGTACTATGCGCATGTTGCTGTTCAACTGTGGATATCGGTGATTTTTATTTTATTTTATCACGGTGATTGGGCGAGGTTGTTAAGTCAACTCGATTTTATTTGATCGAGAGTCAAAGTTTCCTTTGTGACTAATTTCAACATAAAATGCGTATAAATGAAAACCTCCCTTTGAGCGTAATACGCAACTTTCGTCAAAACAGAATTTTTAAATTTTGTTTAATGATCCCAGTGTTGGTAATACGAAGTGATTATAATAAATCGGCGCGTTCACCTAGTTGCGAGTTGAATTTATATAACTACCTGACAACTACCCGTCTGAAGTGCTTGACTTAACCGTCATTCATCCATCAGCGGATTGCTGAGCTTGTGAGTTTAGAAAATTCTGTTATTTTATTTCATCGTAGTGGCTACATCGACATTAAGCCGATGGACAGTCATTTGGCCAAGAATTTGAATCTCTGTATTTTGCAGACATGTATTTCAATCCTCTTTTCGCTTTATTTAATTACTTTACTTGTCATGGGTAGTTTTGTATGAACAAACAGAGAAACGTTGGTCAAATATTCGAATTCCAAGGGATTTTTATTTAATTGTGTATCAAATATTCTATTCTGTGCAACCTCGTGAAACCGTACAGCCAGCAGGAAGTTTTCACTGCAATTTCATCACTGCTAATATTAAGTGCGTGTTACGTTGTTCCCTTTACGGGATGGACGAGCCGTAGAGTGTATTGAGGATGACAATGCTGCTGTCGAAACGTGATCAAGAAAAACTTTCGTCGAGGGGCTTTTTCTACGTGTTCGACAGGAAGTATAGCGACTGAACAACGAAATTATGGCGCTGTTAATAAATCCAAAAGCATTACTTTAGTAAGGATTCACACAGCGGGTACGGCAGCTATTATGAAACTTGGTGAACACTCTCGCGGCAGTTCGGCACCGGTCGTGGTACGGAGGTAGCAGAACTTGATTTCAGAGTTAAAAAGCATTCTGAAAGAATATGAACACGACCATATAAGTCATTAACGAGCGCGCGATTGGACTCTCATAAGAAGCTTAGAGGTAGCTTCAAAATCTTTTTGCTCTGAGGAAAATCATTATAAAAAGTAGGAACGACATCAACGCTCCTCCACCACTTCCGCTAATTTAGAAACACTGTTTCTGCCGGAACCGTATAAAAGATACGATCCGCAATCAGGTGCTGCCAACTAATTCTGATTGGCGATAGCTGTTCTGAACTTAAAGAAATACTGATGTTTAGTACATAGGGAAACAAGCAGATCTTGTGGAAATGGAGAATGTGATTTGCATAAACATTTTTACCTGCACTTCATTGTTTTCGAAAATTTTATGGTGCCTATGGAAGGCTTTGGCGCAGTCCATCCTGCTGAATATGCACTTTTGTCAAACAAGCAAGATGCCACGTATAACATACTCTGCAGCAGTTTCCGAACATTATTCGGATTCGAAATCTTGCGATTTAGAAATTACACCGATGCAGGCAAAGAGCGCGTTCCCACGTGTTTAACTTCACGGCTGTTTTCACCATCTGAATTACATGAAGAAACATTTCGGTGAATTGCATTTATATGGTGCTAATAACGCTGAGGTTCTGCCTTGAAAGCAACAATGATAACAGCCTGTACCGATTACTAAACTACATCAAGCGATCGACAGACTGGCAGAAGAACTTTCTGACGAACTGCATCTGCTCTTGGATGGTTCCAAGGCAACTGCTTCGCTTGAATCATAGAAGAAATCCGGGTTTTTTGCTACCAGTAAGCAGTCGGTTTATTGTAGGGTGATCTACGGTAAAGACCGCACGAATGACCATGAGGAAGCAGCCTAATGATAAGCCAAGACCGAACTGGGAACGTTCCACCCGTCGGTATGGAATTTAACTGAAAGGCTCCACAAACCGCAGAAGAACCGGGAAAAACATACTACGGACAGTTTGCTGCCGATCGTCGGCCACCAGTCAAGTTGAAAAAATATCAGCACGCAGATGAAGGAATAAAGTCCATTGCGCATGACAATCACAACAGGGAGATTTTTACTTATCTCGCTGGGTTAGCGCATAACTACAAAACGCTGCAGTAATGTAATATTTTTGCATAATAAATATTGTTTCTATGACGAAGAAAGTTAGTTTTGCTTTCTTTTAGTTCGTCGTTGCTTGATTTGGATTGTCTTATTCAGCTGCTATTTAAAGATTAAAAATGTATGAAACAAAATGATAAAGCTGTTTCTAGTTAACTGCGTGGTAGAATACATTGAATAACATATAGCAGAGATGCATTCGAAAATAGCACAGAGGGATTGTGGCATAAAGTAAAAACAGGTATTATGCTCAGAGAAACTTCTGTTGGCATGCAATATGCTGAAATTAGTCACAAAGGAAACAGGGATAGACTTCTGAAAGTTCCATAAATTCAAAATCGCGATTGTTAATGTTACTGCTGATTCATGCTGATTTAATGAACTTGCGTAATAGTGATAGTAAAATCGTGAGACGAAGATGAAATTTGAAATTGATACTTATGACGAAAATTTAATATTTCAAGAGATTTCGATCGATGTTTTAGCTGGCTTATTAAATAAAGTAATTGGCACAAATGACATCTGCAATTATATTAATGCTGACTCGCGATCAATTGGTCTTCATATGACGAAGAAAATTAATTTTTATTTTAGTTCATCGTTGTTCGATTTCGACTATTTTAATTAGCTGATATTTAAAGACAAATGTTCTAGGGAGAAAGCTGACACTGCTATCATACGTTTCTAGTGAAACGTTTGGTAGAATATAATCAGTGATGCATAGTAGAATTATGTGCAAATAACATAGACAAACTGGCTTAAATCAGTAAGTAAATTCACTACTGCTCACGACTGTTAATGTCAACGTTGATTCGCGCCGATTTAATGAGCTCATCGCGAAATCTTCAGAGGAAAATGCCAACTTTTAAATAAATGTTTATGACGAAAGTTTCATAATTTGCGCAGGAAGAGCTTTCGAGCGATGTATCACGCGACTGATTAAATCACGTAATTGATAAGATGACCACTTGCAGTTATGTTAACTCTGACTCCTGATCAAATAACAATGCGCTACTTAGCGATATCGCGCAGTCATCACGATAAAAAAAATCATCCATAAAACCATGCAGTATGGAACGGCATCGTATTGAGCTTACCACTGATAGGCAGTATGAAGGGCGAAGTTAAATCACTGGCATAGACGACCATCCGCTAATAACATAATTTCAAACACGTCAAAGCAGACTTAGCGCTAACTTACTGAGATTGCGCAGTCATCACAACAAAATGTCATAAGAATTCAGTAATCTGACAAAACCATTGTATTTCTCTCACTCAGAACAACCAAATGATATGTAATATGATAGGCTCAACCATGCAGCTGACCACTGCCCAGTTGTACAAATTCAGTGCGGCAACCGGAAGACCTAGCGGTGATAATAAACATCCGTCTGCGCCGAAAATTAATAGCCTGCAACAAGAAGATCCTCTTACTTCTTTCCAAAGAAGAATTCCGTCATGGGAGGTGAGAGAATCGACA